CTTGGAGGGGTAGTCCTAGCCTGAATTCAGAGGCCACTTTGCAGGATGTAGAGGTTGGAGGTACTAGAGTCCTCCTTATTACTTCTTGGGATAAGAGCTGTGGAGAAAAGGCAACCATAGTACCTAAACTCTCCCTCTTTTCCCCTTTATCAGCTCGGATTCTTCAAACGCTCCCTCCCATATGGCACCGCCATGGAAAAAGCTCAGCTCAAGCCTCCAGCCACCTCTGATGCCTGAGTCCTCCCAATTTCAGACTCCCAATCCTGAAGAACCAGTCTCCCCACCCTCATTCTACTGAAAGGGAGGGGTCTGGGTACTTCCTGAAGGTGCTGAGGGCCAGGGAGAAGCTCCTCTCCCCAGCCCAGAGACATACTTGAAGGGCCAGAGCCAGGCGGGTGAGGAGCTGGGGATCCCTCCCCCCCACGCACTGTGAAGGACCCTTGTTTACACATACCCTCTTCATGGATGGGGGAACTCAGATCCAGGGACAGAGGCCCCAGCCTCCCTGAAGCCTTTGCATTTTGGAGAGTTTCCTGAAACAACTTGGAAAGATAACTAGGAAATCCATTCACAGTTCTTTGGGCCAGACATGCCACAAGGACTTCCTGTCCAGCTCCAACCTGCAAAGATCTGTCCACAGCCTTGCCAGAGATCCAAAAGAAGGCCCCAGCTAAGAACTTGGAACTTGGGGAGTAAGACCTGGCAGCTCTGGACAGCCCCACCCTGGTGGGCCAAGAAGGAACACTAACTATGGATGGTGCCCCAGGACCAGCTCAGGACAGATGCCACAAGGATAGATGCTGCCCAGAGCCCAGCTCGAAGGGGAATCAGAACTCAAATGGGGCCACATCCAGCCTGGGGTCTAGAGTTGATCTGGAACCCAGACTCAGACATTGGCACCTAATCCAGGCAGATCTGGGACTATATTTGGGCCTGCTCCAGACCTGATCCTGGAGGCCCAGTTCACCCTGCTTTAGGAGAAGCCAGGAATTTCCCAGGACCCCAAAGGGGCCATAATGGCAACAGATCTGGAACCTCAGCCTGGCCAGACACAGGCCCTCCCTGTTCCCCAGAGAAAGGGGAGCCCACTGTCCTGGACCTGCAGAATTTGGGTTCTGCCTGCCAGCTGCACTGATGCTGCCCCTCCTCTCTCTGCCCAACCCTTCCCTCACCTTGGCACCAGACACCCAGGACTTATTTAAACTCTGTTGCAAGTGCAATAAATCTGACCCAGTGCCCCCACTGACCAGAACTAGAATCTGTGATCTGACCCAGTGCCCCCACTGACCAGAACTAGAATCTGTGATCTCATACCTCACTCTTTCCAAACCCATCCTGGAACCAAGCGGCTTGGTGGAAAGCAGATGCCTATTTCTCTCATGGCTTCTTTCCACTCGGGGCCAGAAGTACGACCCCCTAGACACTGTGAAACTAGTTCTGGATTCCCTTCTTAGGTGAAAGACGTGATGGAAGGAGAGAAAGCAGGGCTTGACTCCTCTCCCCCTCCCTCATCCCCCATCAGATCTGGTCCCCAACACTCCCAAGGGAGAAGCGAAAGGAATCTCTTCTCTTTGGGTTTCAGGATTAGAGAAGAAAGCAAAGGGGGAGGTCCAAGGTGGAGGTGGGGAAGGATGGTTCAGAAAATTTCCCAGGCTTCCCTAAATCAGAATAATGAAATGAGAGGAAAAAGCCATAGAACTAAATTAGAAGAAAGCCCAGTTAGGTTTTTGTATTGCTTTGTTTTCATTGCTACTGTGTGCTGGTAGGGGGTGTTAGTTTGCATACATTTAATTTCTCACAGGGTTCTGTGAGGTTGGTACTATTAATCCCATTTACACAAAGGGAAACTGAGGCCCAGAGAGGTTACATAACTTGTGCAAAGTCACACAGTGAGTGGCAGAACAGAGTGAAACTCAGCCTTATCTGACTGGGAAAGTCCGAATTCTTAACCAACATGCCACAGGGTTCAGATCTTTGAAGATAAATCATGCAAAGTGAGGGATCCTCAGGGTCCTCTTTTCTCCTCAAGGCCTGTCACAACATGCAGCAAGAGGGAGAGCCATTGGGGTTGTTGGAGACAAAGATGTCCCTGTCAGGATAGACTAAAATTCAGCCACCAGAGGGCAGCATAGCCACAAATTTATGGGAAATTTGGGAAGGTAGGGTATGCGGTCCACCTCACCCTCTTCCCCCATCACCAGGACTATTCTCATTAACTCAGGCTCCTGCCTAGCAGGGCCTGCATAAAATATCCCTCCTGGGAGACCAAGCCTGGACCACGCTCCAGTCTGTGACTTCTTAGAATGCTCCGAGTCAGGAATGTCTTCACAGAACCCATAAACGAAAAGGAGCTGATGGGGTAGAAGAGGCAGCATGAGACAAAGAACCCCCTAGCATTTCTAAGAATGGCAGCCATGGCATAACAAGACACCAGAAATTCTAGAGGGAGGAAATCGCATACTGGATATATTAAGAGGAGTCCCCCTCTTGGGAGAGAGCTGGGGGTAGAAGCAGCCAAACTTCAGGCGCCAGACCAAAAATGTCTTCCACTGTTGTGAGGAGGAAATAAGGAAGGGAAGTGGGCTGTGGAAACTGGGCTGGTGTCATGGGTGTGTCACTGTGTAGGGCCTGTACTTTTGAGACAGTGACAAGTTCTTACCCGGGATGCACAATACAAGGAAGAAATTCCTTGAGCTCAGAAATGCCACAGACGTAATCTAGTATGAGCCTCTCTTTCCCTGAGCTGTAATTCTCAGACTCCTGGTCTAAGTTTCTTCTCCCAAATCTCCCAACCCTCCGAAGGAAGTGTGACTCCCACCTTGAGACTTAAGTGTAGGGGGGCCAGAAGCGTAGGGGGCCGGAAGGCCTGAGCCCTATCCTTGGCTGTGTTGGTAGAGATGAAAAGGAGAAGGAAAGGAGGTCTTAGGAAGTGAACAGAGCAGCTGGGGGTGCAGGGAGGGGGAGGGGGCTCAAGAGAGGCAGCTGGCAGGCGGGAAGCTGATCTGGGGGTCTCAAGTTTCTTGACATCAATTAGAGCAGCCGGCCTGGGCTCATTAGTAGCCCGGGGTGCAGGGCTCATCAATAATGAATTCACCCCACACACCTTCCCCCCACCCCAGCTGCCTGCAAGGTCACCCGTCCTCTAGCCAGCTGCCGCCCCTTGGTAAGCTTAAGCAACCCCTCTTCTGAGGTCTTCCTAACCCAGAGTCCCTGGGGCAGTGTGGCAGGGTGGACAACAGCTGAGGGCAAAGGGGTCTCTAAAACCAATTGACCATGCCTGATAATGACTTTTGTTTACTCTCTGAGTCCACCCAGGAGGAGAAAGAATGGGAAAAGGAAAGGAGGGGCAGGGTCTAAGGAGAAGCAAGGTTTTTCATACTAGAGTTGACCAGCATGGTGGCAGGACAGACCCAGAGCAGGAGGACCTCCTCTGATGGACCCAGAAACCCCATATCCTCTCCCAACACCAGACTTGGGCAGCAAGGCCAATCACCTGAGATCTCTGCCCCACTGAATCAGAAGGAGACTAAGGCATTGGCACTCCCAGCATTCTCTTGCCCTTGAGCTGGAGTGTCTTGGCAGGTACAGAAACAGGTCTTTTCTTCAAACCAGATTACTGGGGTGAGGGCAAGAGATTGCTGGCACCCAGAAACAGAAACTCCAACTTCCTGCACCTTCCCAATTTCCCTCCAGAACCCAGGAATGTCAGTCTCTTTCCCCTTCCTAAACTGTTCCAAAACTTCAGTCCCACCACCCTTTCACCGACTTCTTCCCCTCCACTTCTACCTGCCTAAACCTCAAACGTTCCAGTTCCCACCCACTTTTCCTCTGATTGGGGTTGGCCTGAAGCTAACTGTGTGGCATTCTGGGAAATCTGCCTGCCACCCTCCCTCTTGAGACAAGTACAGACAAGTTCAGGCTCCATATTCCCCAGACATCTGCAGTGTCCCAGACTCCAGCCTTGTACTGGAGTCCCTTAAGAATACCTCTGAGTGGACTGGGTATGGTGGCTCACACCAATAATCCCAGCACTTTGAGAGGCCGAGGAAGGCAGATCACCTGAGGTCAGGAGTTCAAGACCAGCCTGGCCAACATAGTGAAACCCTGTCTCTACTAAAACTACAAAAATTAGCCAGGTGTGGTGGCGGGCGCCTGTAATCCCAGCTACTCGGGAGGCTGAGGTAGGAGAATTGCTTGAACCCAGGAGGCAGAGGTTGCAGTGAGCTGAGATCGCACCACTGTACTCCAGCCTGGGCGACAGAGCGAGACTCGGGTCTCAAAAAAAAAAAAAAGAAAAGAAAAGAATACCTCCGAGTGGCATGTACTTCCTCTCCCTCCTGACATTCTCCCCAGCTCAGACATTTTGTCCTACCCTCCATCTTCCCCTCCACCTCACCAAATACCCTCATGCCTCCGCACCAGTCCTCTTCAATCGAAGCTGGCCTTAGTGGGGAATGCCCCAGATTTAGGCCCTGAATAGATGCTCCCCGACGCCACCCCACCCCAATCCAGGTCATCTCTACAAGGTGCCTCAGTTCTCAATTTTCTGTCATCTTCCAGTTGCCCTAATGATCTCGGTTACAAGCTTCTATTTCCATCTCCTCAGGTCCATTGATTGCAATCTCTTCGCTGAGACCTTCCCTAACGACCCAGGCATTCAGACCCCAGCCAGAACTCAACCTGGGATCCATCTTCAACATCCCATTTCACCTCAGAGGCCCAGCCCCCAGGCATCCTGCTCCAAAGCCAGAACAACAAATTAGGACCCACACAATTTCTGCTGCACTTCCCCTGCCCCCTGCTCAGTCCATCACTCTGGAGGGAACCTAGGTATCCCACCCAACCCAAGGCCCATCGCCTCCCAAAGTACTTAGGCACCCCCGCCCGCCTCCCCCCGACTCCCCTTCCCACCCCATATCAGCCCAGAACCGGACTTCCCGCCCTCAGACTCAGCCCTTCCCGGGAACCCAGGCATCCTAGTTTCCAGCTTCGTCCATCACCTCACACCGTCTTCTACACGTCCTGTTCCCCCAGCCCTGGCCGCAGTGACACCGTAAACCCAGGAGGCCAGCAGGCAGCAAGAAGAAGGGCGGGAGGAAGCGGGAGGGGCCAGGACGCCCCCTCGCGGAGCCCTGAGTGCCCGGGTCCCCTCCTCCCGTCTTCACCTGCTGAGGGCCCCGCCCCCGCTCCGCCTCGGCCGGCCTCTGCTCCTCCCCGGCTCCTCCCCCCGTACCCCCAGCCCGGCCAGAACGGCCCCCGGGACAGAGCGACGCGGAACCCCGGGCGCCTGGGTCCCCAGCATGATCCTCGGTGAGTGGTCTCTGCGACTCCAGGCTCCCGGCTCCTGGGTTCCTCTCTGTGGGTCACCCACCGCCCCCCCCATCTCCCGGCACCGCGGTGACTGCGGCCGCCCGTCAGCGACCGGTTCCCCCTCCCCCTTCATCTGGCTCCACATCTGGGGTCCCCTCTTCCCCTCTTCCCCAGGCTGCCGCTGCTCCGGGTAATCTAGAGAGTGGTAAAGCGGGAGGCAGAGCGGAGTGAGACCCCCGCCCCATAATTAGAACATTGCGTATTCATGAGGCTCATGAATATTATATACCAGTCTACGAGAGGCTGGGGGAGGGGGCTGGTCCTGGCTTGGTGGAGTTGGGGGAAAGGTTCTGACCCGTCTCCCGCCCCAGCGTCTTCCCCCACCCTTAGCTTAGACACTCCGACATCCTTCTGGGCCCAGGATAAGGGGGAAAGGAGGAAGTGGGGGGTGGAAGAAGAAGATGGTGGGTGTAGCTTCGAGGTGAGTGTGGTGGGAGGTGGGAACCTGAGGGCCGGAGATAAGAGGGCTGGGGAGCAGAGGGACTGGGGAGCAGAGGGGCTGGGGAGAAAAGGGGGTGGGGAAGATAGGGGGTGGGAAACTGTCCATCCAGGGCTCCTGCGGCTCAGAGCCTGTCTCCACAGCCATCCTGCCCCAACACGCCGAGACCTGCCCCTCTCTCTCCCTGCTCTAGCTGCCTGAGTCCCTCTTTCCTGACTTCCTTCTTCTCCCTCCACCCCTGCCTTGGGCCGGGGGCAGCAGGAGAGGGAGGGGCAATGGAGAGGGTAAGGATGGGGGATGGGAACTCCCGCTGGGCTCTGACAGCCCGTCAGCCACAGCCACCCCATCCTCATGACCTACATCAGGAAGGGAGCCCCAGGGGTGGGGGAGGAAAGGGCCTAGCTGTGCTCTGGACTCTGCATCAGCACCGGCTGCAGGCTCCTGCCCTCCACCCTTCCTCCACAATAGTCCACAGGCCTGCTCTGACCTCTGCCCTCTACCCTGGCTAGGCCGGTTTCTGGGATCTGTTTATGGTGGGAGCCCCCCAACCAGGCACAGACACCTGTGGTCTCCCTGCCCCCAGCTGAGGACACCTGGCTCCATGCTGGTACCCAGACGGCTTGACTGGCTCCTGCACTCATCCCTCTCCTGAGTCCCTCTGCTATTTGTCTTCCTTTCTTGCCTTCTTTCATTTCACTGCCTATCCCTGTTGACTACCTATTGTCCTTCTGCCCTTCCTCCATCTCTTTTTCTCTCCTCCTGTGTGTCCTCAGTCTCTCTCTCCTGTATGTCTCACCCCCTCCACCTGGCACTCCACCTATCTATTGAATGGATGACTGAACGAAGGCATGAATGACTGGTTGCCTGCCTCCTTCTCAAGAGCCTCTCCAGCAGGGGAGGTTATTACCCACTCTTCTATGAATACCACCCAGACGCTAGAGTGACCCCCACCAACACACATTGCACTCAGTCCCCCAGAGCACAGGCTCCACATTCCTCCAACCTGTGTGATCCCTGAACCCTGGCTCCACCCCGGGCATAGCCCGAGAGGCAGCATCGTGCTTGCCCAGAACAGGCTGGCATAAGCCGTGCTTTCCCTGGTCAGCAGGCCCTGAAAAGGACATCGTGGACCTGCTTGCTGGAGCCTGACCAAGACCCCAGCCACAGGAATAATTCCTGGGTCCACATTCTCTGAAACTGGACCACAGCCACGAGTGGGACCCTCACATCCCCCTGGAGGACACTGTAATTAATTCCCTCCTCATGCCAAGCTCACGGAGGGCAGGAACTCTGGCAAAGCCCACACACCTTAGCCCTCTTTGAGGAAGGAAGGAGAGAGGGAGGAAGCTGCCAGCCAGGGCTCAGGCCCCACCCCCAGGGACCCTACAAAGGTTTCAGTTCTGAACACTCAGGTCCTCTGAATCCGTATGCATGGTAGCCCTGGAGGGACCGTAAAACCTCCCTGCCCAGCATGTGACACCCAGCCAGCCTGCTCAAGATCTAGAGTCTGGGCCCCAGGTTTAAGATGGCAGTTCTGGGCTCAGGTTCCCTGTTCTAAGCCTTTCAATACCATCCTTTCCAACTGAGTCCCTGGTGCAGTAAGGGTAGGGGCGCATTGAAGGAGGCCCTTTCCAATCAAGTTGGGAAAGATTTCCCAGGGGCCTCCCTGCTCTCCCCTTCCCAGTCAACTCCTCCCTCTAGGCCCAGTCCCCACCTACATCCACCCTGGGGTTATTAGGCATGGTGTTTTGAGTAGTTGTTCATAATCATCCCCCTTGTCTCTTTCATCTTTGACTTCAAAGCCTTCCCAGTCCTCAGCCTGCCTCTTGCCAAGCTGGGGGAGTTGAGGCAGAAGGGGGCATATATATGGCACTTGGTAAAAAAGACCCAGGGGTTCAAAGCTTTCCTCCCACCCCGCCCTTAATTTTAGGCACTTCTAGGGAGGGAGACAAGGCCAAAGGGCCCGAAGGGAAAAAGAGATTAATCAGAGAAGAGATCGCAATTTCTCCTTTGGCCCAAGTCTAATTCCCATTTTAACCCAGCACTGACCCTATGCTTTTTACCACCTTGGGCCCTAACTACTTGCACCTTTAACCCCAGTATCTCTCTCTGATCTTAATCTCATTCTGGCCCAGTCTTCCAACCAACACTAACCCACAGCCCTGTACTAACACCTTTCCTGGCTCCTATTCCTACCCAGATGCAGCCACTCCCTAAGCATTCTTTACCAACAGGGTTTGAGGCATGGGTCCCCACCTAAAATAGCCAAGGGGCTGGGGCTCCAGACCTGGCCCGAATTTCTGGGGAAGAGGGAAAGGAAAAAACCAATAGAGGAAGCCAGATGTGGCCTGGTTGAGGGTTAGTGCTGACAGGGCAACTTGAGCAGGATCAAAGTGCCCAGGGCTAAGTAGGGTGTGAAAATGGACAGATGGACATCCATCCAAGGGTCTGGAATTCACCCCCTCTAAATCGTGTTGGGAGCTTTCTTTAATAAAGCATTTAGCAATTCCTGATGAAGCTGGGTGGGGCTCTATCTGCTGGAGGTAATTACTCTAATAAGCTTCCCTCAAGAGTGGCCTGCCCCAGCCAGGCCTCAGCTCCTCCCTGCCTTGCCTGACATGGGTGCCACACACACACACACGCGCGCACACACACACACTTACACACACTTCAGTTTGCTCTCCACCTCTTCTGCCAAACCTGCCTAGAGATTTTACCTAGCTAGAAGTCAAAAGCCCTGCATTTCCTACTCATTTCCTGCCTCCCCAGCCTTTCCTATATTCCTGCCTTTCCCCCCATCCCTTTCCAGATCTAGCCAGAAAAGTGGAGTGCTTGAAAGCCCTGTCTCTGGAACCAGACAGACAGGTTCACATCACTCACTAACTGTGACCTTGGCCAAATAACTCCCCTTCTGAGCCGACTGTCATCATCTATAAGACGAGGATTCATTTATTCAGCAAATATTTATTGAGTTCTCACTGTGACATACCAGCATTTTACATGGAATTTGTTCAATCCTCTCAACAACTTGGTGAGGCAAGTAGTGTTTTCATTTGACAGATGAGAAATGAGACTGAGAGTCAGAGAACCTAGCTGCTCACCCAGCTAGTGAGTGGTGGGACCACCTACTGGGAGATTGTGTATGTAAAGTGCCTGGCCTATAGTAAAGCCTCAAAAAGCGGCAACTATTGTTAGCCTCAGAAAAAGAGGGGAGGGGCCTGAGGCCTGGGCTACCTGAAACCAAGAATCCTGTTTCTGCCCACCCGACCCAAAAGCTGCCATCTGTCTCTCTCGCCACCTCAGAATGGAGTGGACCCAGGAATCTGGGAAGGAGACAGTTTGTCTCCAGTTGCCCGCCCTGCTTCTTTCCCTCACTGTACCCTCATTTGACCCCTCTCTCCCACTCTCCTCCCCTCCCCCGCTCACCCAGGGCTCATGTCTGTGGAAAAGATGAGTTGCTAGCCATAGATAACTGAGTGGCTGCTACCTGTTTTCCTCTATCCCTCCTCTGGAGGAAAAATGAGGACTCCAACCTGAGGAAGTGCATGGAACTTGCTCTCCTCTTCCTCTCCTTGAACAAGATGGAAGAAGCCTGTGCTCAGATCTCTGCTTCAGTTAAATTCAAGCCCTTTGGGAGTAGGGTAGCACAGAGAAAGAATTTGCTATAGAGTCCAACAGATCTTGATCTATATCTCAGCTCTGATATTTACAGGCTGTGTGACATCAACCAAGTTTGTTAACCTCTCTGAGTCTCCATTTCCTCATAAGTCAAGTAGAAAAAATATTATCAGCTACTGCATTGAATCATGGCTACTTCATTGAGCTACTTCAGAGGTTAAATGTGATAATACTTGGAATTCATTACCTGGCACATAGTAGCCTCAAATTTTTTTCTGTGGCTTTTTCTGGAACTCTACTGTCTCCTCTTAAGATAGCTTCAAGAAGTGGGAGCCTAGAGAAATCTAGAACCTGGGAAAGGGTCAAGCCAAGCTTCAGCCTCTGGTGCTCTGGGGCAGGGCAAGTGCCAGCCCAAAACCAGCTGCTGGGGGTGGATGCTGGGTGCAGGGGACTCTGGGAGCACTCAGGTTTCTCTCACCATTCCTGATGCCGCCTGGGGCTCGTTAAGGCTGCCCTGGCCTTGGGTAACAGGCAGTAAGGGAGGGTGGAGCACAGAGGGGAGATGCCATGAGGGGACAGACCAGGAAGGGGAGATGGTCAAGCTGCCCCGTCGGTCTGTCTGTCCCTCTCTCTTCTCTTTTATCTTTCTTGCTGTCTCTGTTCTGTGTGTTTCAGTCTGTCTGCCCTAGTCTGTAGCCCTGTGTCCAGCTTTTCGGCAGTGTCTTTCTGTTTGTATGTCTGATTTCACTCTCTGACATCTCTCCATTGTTCTCTATCCTTTTATCTCTCAGTGTCACCGTCCCATTCCTCCGTCACCTATTCCTGCTGCTACCACTCTCCCATCCTCTCACTTTCATCTGTCGGTCTCGCTGTGTGTGTGTGTGCATGTGTCCTCTCTCCACCCCATCCCAAGTGTGTGTGTGTGTGTGTGTGTGTGTGTGTCCTCTCTCTACCCCATCCCAACCTTGAAGGTGACAGAGGAGGGAATAGACACAAAGCATACAGACCACCAGCTACTTAAGGGTCAAAACCAAGGATCTTACCCTGTCCTTCAGCCCTGAGAATTCTGAAGCCCAAGCTCCCAGTAGCCTTGACACCCCCTCTGTCTCAGTCACCCTGACCACCCACCCTGGCATGGGGTGAAAGAGACAGACCCCTCCAGACCTTTCTGGACCAGCTCCCTGCCCCCAGCTGTGCCTGAGCCCTCCCCACCCCCTCCCTCTCGCCTCAGATTCCCCTAATCCCTGCTCCCCTGCCCTCCCCTCTGCCCCACTTTTCCAGGATTCTGATTGGCTGATTCTACTGACTGGGCTGAGGGGGAGGGGGCTGGCAAGGGAGGGGGCAGAGGGCAGAACCAAGGGAAGGGGACGCTGTCAGGCCCAGGCCCCTGGGGGGCCAGGGCCAGGCCACTGCCTGGGGGCAGCAGGCACAAGAAACTAAAGGTATGAAAGGGGGTGGTCTCTATGGAGGGAACAGGAAGGGATCCTGGGGACCTTCTGCCCTAGTAAGGTCAAGGGAGGACGGGCCAAGCATGCAGCCTCCTCGGTTTGCCTTTGTTCCTGGGAACCCCTGTTGCTGTCAGGGGGTTACTGGAGCAGTGAAGGGTGGCCACAACTCCCCAACTGGTGCACAGCAGGGTCGCAGAAGGGAGCTGGGCCGGTGGAAGCCCAGAGGGGCTCTGAGGACCTTTGGGCTGCCCCTTTGGTGGGTTCCTCCCATGACTCTGAGAGGAGGAGGAAAAGGTTTCAGGAAAGGGTAGTTGAATGGCTGGCCTGGACTTTCATTTCCCCTTGGGGTCAGACCCAGGCATTCCCCACCCAGAGGCCAGGTTGAGGTTCCTCCTGCAGAACTGGACCTGTAGCTGAGCATTCCCGGTGAGACAAAAGGGCCTTGGGGAAGACTGAGGAAGGTTGGGAGAAGGGGCTCTGAGAATGGCCTCGGTAGTTCACCTCCCAGAGCAAAAACCACCCGCTACCTACCCCCACAGGTGTCAATAGTTAATTAAGAATTATAATTAGAAGCCGGGCACAGTGGCTCACGCCTGTAATCCAGCACTTTGGGAGGCCGAGGCGGGAGGATTACAAGATCAGGAGTTTGAAACCAGCCTGGCCAACATGGTGAAACCCCGTCTCTACGAAAAATACAAAAAAAATTAGCCAGGTGTGGTGGCGGGTGCCTGTAATCCCGGCTACTCGGGAGGCTGAGGCAGGAGAATCGCTTGAACCCACGAGGCAGAGGTTGCAGTGAGCCGAGATCGCGCCACTGCACTCAAGCCCGGCAACAGAGTGAGGCTGTGTCTCAAAAAAAAAAAAAGAATTATAATTACAGCAAAATCTAATTCTAGGGCATCTGAGAGATTCAGCAGCCCCCTCCAAATCTAAGTCCCAATATCGCCCTCTGGTCAGTGGGATGAATCACCCACTTGACTGTCTTCTTCCTGGGGTGATACCAAGCTTTAGGATCCCCTGGGGGAAAGCAAAACCAGAAAAAGAGGGTGGCCAGGGGCTTGAGGCTGGGAGTCCTGCTGGTTCAGCAGGCAGCCTGCAGAAAAGGTATGGGCTCTTACTGGGTAATGTGCCTAGAGACTTTGGGGGAGGGAGGCTGGAAAAGGGGGAAGTGAAAACCACCCAGAAGGGAAGGACCAGTCTACATCCTCCCCCAGACCCACAGGGCACTGTGCTCCATTGCTCTGGAGCCAGCAGGGGAAGTGTGTACACTGTGCACTGGGGTGACACTTCTGAGTGTGGGGGCCCTGGTTAGGGAGTGGGACTGGCAGGTTTGGGTGGGGTTTCCAAGCTTTAATCTTCCTACTCCACAAAATGTTTTCTCTGCCCTTCAGGCAGCCTGAGCCGGGCAGGGCCCCTGCCTCTGCTACGGCAGCCCCCCATCATGCAGCCCCCGCTGGACCTCAAGCAGATCCTGCCCTTCCCACTCGAGCCGGCCCCTACCCTTGGCCTCTTCAGCAACTACAGCACCGTAAGTAGCAGCCTGCCTGCCTTCTCCATCCACTTGTGACCCGATCTTTCCCTCTCAGACCCACCTCTGCCCTCTTCTCCTGTTTCTAATTCTTTATCTCCTCTTATGACCCCATCTTCCTTAATTCTAGTTAATTTTGAGTACTGTGGGCCATCTGGTGTAGTGTTAACAACAATAATAATAGCTAATATTTGCTGAGATCTTGCTACGGGCCAGACACTGTGCTAAGTGTTTTATATGAATTATCCCATTTAGTCCTACAGTGAATCGCCCTACCATCTAGAGAAGTAATGAGACTTAAATTGGTGGTAGTAACAGTAGGGAGGTAGGAGGGGTGTAGGTGCTGAATCCAGAAAGAGGGAATAAGCAAGAAAATAAGCATGTCTGTTTGTAAGTTTCACCTCTCTGGAGTCCACAGCTGGGTGGGTAGGATCAATGGGATAGGGCTTGGAGGACTGGCAAGATGGTCTAGATTTAATACAGTATGAAATAGGAAGGTGCTGTCTATTTGTGTGTTTGTTTGTTTTTATGAGACGGAGTCTTACTCTGTTGCCGAGGCTGGTGTGCAGCGGCACGACCTCGGCTCACTGCAACCTCCGCCTCCCGAGTTCACTGATTCTCCTGCCTCAGCCTCCTAAGTAGCTGGGATTACAGGCATGTGCCACCACACCTGGCTAATTTTTATATTTTTAGTAGAGATGGGTTTTCACCCTGTTGGCCAGGCTGGTCTCAAACTCCTGACCTCAGGTGATCCGCCTGCCTCAGCCTCCCAAAGTGTTGGGATTACAGGCATGAGCCACCATGCCCGGCCACCACTGTCTATTTTTGAGTAGGAGACTGACTTGGTAAGAGCAGCATTTGAGGAAAGTGAGTGGGGCAACTGGATGAAAGGGAACAGAGGCAGGAGGAAGGTGAACAGTTAGGAGGCTGTCCTAGCAATGCAGGCCCAAGGTAAGCCTCAAAAGCCAGACTGGGCTGGTGGCAGTGGCAGTATGAATGGAGAGAAAGGAAGAATGGGGGAGGTAATTCCAAGGAAATATTGACGGGTCATGGTGACCAGCTGGTGTTTGAGGGTGAGGGAGAAGAGAAGGCATGAGTCAAGGATGACTCCAGCATTCAGGTCTTTGTGACTGGATGGAAGTCACCATTGACAGAGGCAGAGGGTTGGAAAAGGAAGTTGGTCTCCGGTGAGGGTGATGAATTCCCTTTAGCATGTGGTGCTAAAGCTAAAGCTTTATCTTTTTTTTTTTTTTTTTTATTTTTATTTTTTGAGACGGAGTCTTACTCTGTCTCTCAGGCTGGAGTGCAGTGGCATGATGATCTCGGCTCACTGCAACCTCTGCCTCCTGGGTTCAAGCCATTCTCCTGCCTCAGCCTGCCCAGTAGCTAGGATTACAGGCACGTACCACCATGCCCAGTTAATTTTTTTTTTTTTTTTTTTTTTGAGACGGAGTCTCGCTCTGTCGCCCAGGCTGGAGTGCAGTGGCGGGATCTCAGCTCACTGCAAGCTCCGCCTCCCGGGTTTACGCCATTCTCCTGCCTCAGCCTCCCGAGTAGCTGGGACTACAGGTGCCCACCACCTCACCCGGCTAGTTTTTTGTACTTTTTTAGTAGAGACGGGGTTTCACCGGGTTAGCCAGGATGGTCTCGATCTCCTGACCTCGTGATCCGCCCGTCTCGGCCTCCCAAAGTGCTAGGATTACAGGCTTGAGCCACCGCGCCCAGCCGCCCAGTTAATTTTTATATTTTTAGTAGAGACAGGGTTTCACCATCTTGACCAGGCTGGTCTCGAACTCCTGACCTTGTGATCCACCCGCCTCAGCCTCCCAAAGTGCTGGGATTACAGGCTTGAGCCACTGTGCCTGGCCTGTATGTTTTAAATAATAATAATAGGCCGGGCGCGGTGGCTCAAGCTGTAACATGGAAGATAAGGTAGAATGAAATTGGTTTTTAAAAAAAAAAAAAAAAAAGGGATATGGGTGATTTGGGCATAAACCCAGTAGTAGGACCACTGAAGCCCAAGAATGTCCTAAACAGATAGGAATATTGGAATGCCCATGGGAAGGTGGGCTAGAGCTAAAGGTTTGGGGAAAGTCAGCCTTATTCAACTTAAATAATCCACATCAAATCATATTTAGCCATAAACATGTATTGAGCATCGACTACACGCCAGGCACTGTAGCAGATGTTTCTATCTGCAATCTCATTTCACCTTCACAACAACCCAACAAGGTAGACATTATTATTCCATTTAACAAACGAAAAAGCAAAAACTAAGGCTCAGAGGGTTTAGTAATTTATATAAGTTGACACAGTATGTGCCTAAGGTATGATTTGAACCCATTGCATCTGGCTTCAAATAGAGTTATCATTCTGCCACAGCTGCTCCCCCCAAACTCTTCCCAAAGAACCCAGACACATTTGCATTGCACTTTTAAGTTTTCAGACTGTTTTTTCATATCTCAACCATCAAAGAAACCTTGTGGGGTAGCTGTTATTGTCCTCATTTTACAGTTGAGAAAATTGAGTACTAACTATAAGCAAGGCATTGTTCTAGACACAACGGAGACATGAGGGTAAATATGAGACAGTCCTAAATTAAAGAACTTATATTCAGGGGAGAAAGATAGACAAGTACGTAGCAAAACAGGGGGAAAGTTATAAATATTGTGGCAGAGACCCTAACAAAAACTCAGTTTATGGATCACAAGGTCAGGAAATCGAGACCATCCTGGCTAACATGGTGAAACCCCGTCTCTACTAAAAATATATATTTTTTAAAAATAGCCTGGCATGGTGGCAGGTACCTGTAGTCCCAGCTACTTGGGAGGCTGAGGCAGGAGAGTGCACCCAGGAGGCAGAGCTTGCAGTGAGCCAAGATCACGCCACTGCACTCCAGCCTGGGCGACAGAGCAAGACTGCAACTCAAAAAAAAAAAAAAAAAAAAATTTCTATTTAACAAAAAAAAAATTTTTTTTGAGTACCTACTATATGCTGAGTACTGTGCCTGGTGTCAGGGACACAGGACTCAGTTACCACACTTGGGGAGCTCCTAGTTTAGTAGGAAGGATAACAAGTTAACCCTATGCAGTGTGAGAAGAGCTGTGTCAGAGGCATTTTGCTTGCACGGAAGCCCAAGTGTCAAGAAAGACCTTCCTGGATATGGTGGGTCCTAAGGGACCAACCAGAGCTAGGCAGAAAAACAGAGAGCAGAGGAAAAAGGGATTTAACCTGGAGCAGGTGACATATAATTTGGGCTTTGAAGAATTATTGGCAAGAGTTTTAAAGTAGCCTTAGGGAACATTCCAGACTGAAGTAAGTAGCATGAACAAGGGCTAGAAAGGAGCATTTGAGAAAGTGCAAGATTGGATGTGATAGGTCATAAGATGGGGAGAATACTTCCCCCCATCTAAACACCTGACTTACACTTGACCTCAGATCTTAGCAACCCCATCAGTGTCCCTATTGTATAGATGAGGAAACACAGATGCAGAGAGGTTAAGTGAATTGTCCAAGGTCACAAAGCTACTTAGTTGATTGGATAATCCAGGGTTTCGACTCCTGCAGAGTTCATGCTCCACTGCCTCTAGCAGAGGTATTTAAAGCGATGAGCATGGATAAGCTTAAAGAGTTCAGCAGGGTGTTGAACTGCATCCTGCATCTGATTGGCAGAATTTAACTTGATGTTCCAAAGTACTGGCTGTGTGACCTTAGGCAAGTTATTTAACCATTCTGAACCTCAGTTTTACCAACTGTAGAATGGGATAGTTTTTTCTTTCTTTCTTTCTTTCTTTCTTTTTTTCTTTTTTTTTTCTTTTTTTAAGACAGAGACTTACTCTGTCCCCCAGGCTGGAGTGCAGTGGTGCAGTCTCCACTCACTGCAACCTAAGCCTCCTGGGTTCAAGTAATTCGCCTGCCTCAGCCTCCTGAGGAGCTGGGGCTACAGGCGCACACCACCATGCCCAGCTAATTTTTGTATTTTTAGTAGAGACAGGGCTTCACCATGTTGGCCAGGATGGTCTCGATCTCTTGACCTTGTGATCTGCCCACCTCAGCCTCCCAAAGTGTTGGGATTATAGGCGTAAGCCAACGCGCCTGGCCAATTTTTGTATTTTTAGTAGAGATGGAGTTTTGCCATGTTGCCCAGGCTGAGAATGGGATAGTATTAACACCAACTCACAAGGTTGTGAGATCATATTACATAATCATAATGCCTATCACAAACTAAGTGCTCGATCAGTGTTAGCTACTATGATTATTATGCTATTGCTATTGTTTTTATTTAAGAGAGAAGTAAAGAGAGAAACATAGGATGGTCAAGGCCTTAGCCTTTGGGAACATGCAGAATTAGGCAGTAGGAACAGGAAGAGGCTTCAGCAAAGGAATGCAAAAGCCACTGGAGGGGGTGGGGAGGGAAATATGTTCCTGTAGAGTTGGGAAAGCCAAGGGAGAGAGTGTGGCGGGCTGCATCAATACTGTCAAATTCTGCAGGGGAATGAGGACTGCAGAAAAGCTGCAGACAGACCTTTGGAAGTACTGTGCAGCAGCTAAGTATGTGGCTTTGGAGTCAGACTGCCCAGGTTTAAATTCAAATCCCAGTTCAGCCACTTACTAGCTTATGACCTTGGGCAAATTATTTAACCTCTCAAAACCTCAGTTCCCTCATCTATAAAATGAAGATAATAATAGTACTTACTTCAAATAGTGGTTGTGAAGATTAAATTAGATAATCCATGCAAAGAGCTCAGTACAGAAGCTGGCACATTCCAAGGGCTCAATCAACATTAGATGGTGGTAGTGGTATTTTTTTTTTTTTTTTTGAGACGGAGTCTCGCTCTGTTGCCCAGGCTGGAGTGCAGTGGCGCGATCTCGGCTCACTGCAAGCTCCGCCTCCTGGGTTTACGCCATTCTCCTGCCTCAGCCTCCTGAGTAGCTGGGACTACAGGCGCCCGCCACCGCGCCCGGCTAATTTTTTGTATTTTTAGTAGAGACGGGGTTTCACCGTGGTCTCGATCTCCTGACCTTGTGATCCGCCCGCCTCGGCCTCCCAAAGTGCTGGGATTACAGGCATGAGCCACCGCGCCCGGCCCGGTGGTAGTGGTATTATTCATGACAGAGTCTCTCCTTCCCAGGGGACTGGCACCTCCCGCACTCTCTCCTACTTGGGCAGTTCGTACTCCTTAGACCTCTTCTGGAATTACTGTCTCCCCTCATTCTCCTCCCACTAACTCCACTGCTTCCCTCTGCCCTTGGACATCCCTCACTGTTTCCCAAAGCCACCCTCTCTCTAGATCCAGTCCCCTGCTTCACTAATCTCTCTGCCCTAGGTGGAATGGGAGAAGATGAGACCTAGAGATGAAAGACTGGAAATCCCAGGACCTGTCTAGACAGAACGAGGTGTCTGGGGGAGTGGGGCTGCTGGGCCCTACAGCCTCGGTCCCCCAATGCTGGCCCCACTGAACCGCCAGAGGGCAGCAGGTGCATGAAGCGTAGGCTTTCAGAGAGCCTGGTTCTCCGGCAGGTGGCGGGCGCGGGTAGGAGGTGGGAAGAAGTTAGGAACGACATCCCCAGTCTGAGGTCGCTTTTGCCCTGGGTGCCCTCAGCTCCACAATTTGGAAGAGTCTCTGAGAGAGCAATGCCTGACACCTGGGTACCTGGGCTCAGTTTCCCATCCCTAGGGAGGGAAGTGACTTGTAAAAGGGTAGCAGCATACGGGCCGCCTTTGCAGAGGAAGCCGGGGAAGGGTCGTCTGGGGACTCTGAAGACAGACTATCAGCAGGGGATCTAGGGAAGGTCGGGGCAAAAGGGGTGAAAGAAAGGAGAAATGTCTGAGTTGGTGGGGACCCCGGACCCAAGAAGGAGCCCCAGTGGAAGCAACGAGGTCATCTGGTCAATGCCCCTGCCGCGGGGCCAAGTGGCCTCTTCTCTTCCGAACAAGCTCTTTCCTAGGAGTGTCTGGATAATGGACATCCCCCTCTTTCCGCCCTAGCCCCCTTTCATTCCTCTTCAGCTCCCTGTCCCTGTCCCTGTCCCCGCCCCCGTCCTCGGCCCCGCCTCTGGGGCGGGCTCCGGCCCGGGCCAGCGCCGCCTCCCCTTCTCCCCGCCGGCCGGGCCGCACAGCCCCGAGCCGCCCGGGCAACGAGCGCCGCGTCCCTGGCCTGCCCGGCCCGGCCAGGCTCGGCCCCTCAGCCCGGGTCCGCTACCCCGGGCCATGGAGCCGCGGCCCCTAGGGTCTCGCAGGGTAAGCCACCCGGCCCCTCCTCTCTCCCTGACTCCCGCGGCTGCCGCAGCGCACCCCCACCCCGTCCCCGCCCGCCCCTGCGGGGCTGGCTACCTCTTCCTCTGCCTGGTCCTCGGGTTGTCCGGCCCATCCCCCACACCGGCGCGGCCCTAACCAATCTCGGGATCCCAGCTCATGCCCCCAGACTACTGCCACCATACTGGATACCCTCACCTCTGCTTCCCACATTCTCGGAGTCCCCCAAATCTTCAGACTTCCTGTCAGGTCCTACACCTGCCCTCCAATGACCACACTGATCACATCCCTCCTCTCCAGCCCCGGCCCTTTCCCAGCATCCCTCCCCCACCAGCTTCCACCTGCTCTGTACATACCCCCTAGCTCCTTCTCTTTCCTATCTCAGTCCTTCCTCAGGTCTTCCCATCCCTGAGATTCTACCACCTTTCCCTTTTCATCTTAATTGTGGTGGGTGGGGAAGTGGGGTGCTCACACAAGGGGCAGCGGGTTCCATCAGATAAAGGGCAATGGAAGGAAATATAATCATAGCACCCCTCGTGTTCCTGATCTGGTTTCCCCCCTCCCTCTCCCTTGCCCTTCCTGATTCATTTTGCCCCAGCTTCAGGGAGCGGTTCCCCTTCATGTCTACTGTTGGAGGGCAGGTGGGAGGGGACTGTTTTATAGACCTTTCCAGGCTGTGTCCAAGCCAGCATCCCAGGGAAGAGGTTCTGGAGTGAGATGGGCTCTGGGAGGTGCTGGCCTTCACCCCTCCCCAGGGAGCCCTCATCTAGGTCACCGGGGCCTCCTGACCTTGGCCTGGAGCAGCACTTCAGTGGCTCACATTCCACCTGCGCAGGGATTGGGCCCAGGAGTCCTCACCTTCAGCCTGGTGTCTCCTTAGTTGCTGGAGGAGGGTGGGAAGCACCCACCTGACTCCACTGGTGCCCTCTTCCCCACTCCCCACTCCCACTCCTAGTTGGTGTTTGTGGACTTAAACCAGGGGAGGGGGTTGTGCAAGAGCTAAGGTTCTCACCCTGGAGGAAGGACCCAGGTAGGACAGAAACCATTCTCAGGGTATGGATGCTGGGATGGCCAGTCCACAAGTCATCCTCGGGGTCCTGTGTCCTCAGCCCCTCTGGAAAGCAGGCTGGGATGATGAGACAGAGCATAGACGGAACCAGGAGACTGCTCTCCGCTTCCATCCCGCTCCTCTCTCCCTACTGTTTTCATCCAACTTGGGTTTCCTGGCCCAGACTGAGTTTCTGTTTGAATTCCCATTCCCCACCCAGCCTGTGAGGAAGCCCAGGGCTGAGGAGAACTCTGGAACAGAGTTGGGGGTCTCTAAATCGGAAGGACTAAGGCCTGGAGACTGGGAGCTGAGAGCAGCCGTCTGTCTCCCCTTTCTGATGAAAGCCTGTCTCCAATTTGGTCTGTCTGTCTTTCTGCCAAACACATCACACATTCACACCGATAAACACACAGCTGAAGATCACACCACCTGACCATTCATGGTGTCACCAAAGCCCCCAACGCAGAATGTTGATATATAAATGATGTACACACAGTACATGACACTTATTCACACTCCACCCATGCACAGATTGATCACAGCCTGCCTAACACACACAGACACACCCGTTCTCCTGTTTGGCTTTTCCTTGGATGTGACTGGGGCTTCTGAGAAGCTGAGGTAAAAAAGTGAGCCCTTAGAGAGGCTTCTTTCCAACCAAGAGTAGGCCAAGAGATTGACCTTGTTAGTCAGACCAGTTATCTGAACCCAGTCATGGTCCCTGCCTTCAGCGCTACCCAAATGGAGCAGAATGGATGAGGCCACCATCTATTTCACAGGGATACTAAAGCCCATTTCCTGACGTTAACCCCACCCAGCCAGTGAAACTACTGGGGAGAGGCAAAGGAGAGTCCAGAGGGCAGGGCTTTTCTGACTCTTACCACTTTCCCCCACTTCTTGTTCTCTCACCAGTGTCTCATTGGAAACCCTAAAGACCTGTCACAGAGACGGGCTCGGCTGAGGAGATAAAAATCCCAAGTCTCCAGCAACTATTTTTCACTTGATCCCTCCACCTGGAAGATAAGGTTTCAGTCCTAATTCTGTCCTATTCTTAGGAGAAAGCCCAGCCATCCCCCAATCTTCAGTCTCAGCTACACTCCAGTCTTGCCTCTCCCTAGCTTCCTAGAGGCCAAAAGGGAGGAGAACTGTTGAGGGAGGCAGTTTTCATGCCTCTGAGCCCCTGGTTTCATCCCCTGATAGTAGAAAGCCTCAGAGAAACTCCCATCCTCTCCCTTCCTCATGTGAACTCTTGGCAGGAGACTGCAAAGACATCTGCTGACCCAGGGTGGGGACAGGGATGGTTCCTAATCCCGCCCAGCCCCACAGCTCTGCCCTAGAAACCCTCATGATCAGGGAGAGAAGGTTCAGAAGATCCCTGGGTTGCCTTGGGCCAGCCCAGGTGCTTAGGTCCCCCCACTTAGTCCCCATGATTCACTAGGAGCTCCTACTCTCTCCTGAGTTCTTTTACTCCCTCTAGAAGTTGCTGCCTTTAAGAGGTCCAGAGAGGGAATGTGTTAGGGTGACCAGGGGCCCAGAGATGGGAGGCTGGGAACATCTGTCTCCTGGGACCAGAGGCTGGGCTTGGTGATCGTCTTACCCCAGAGTGGAGGCCCAAAGGGTTCAGAGGCTTCAGCTGAAGGCCCTAGGATCTAGGGTGCTTTGGGACTTCATGTCAGAGGCCTCTGGTAGATTGGCTTCACTGTAGGAGATAAGTCAAGGCGACAGAGTTGGATGTTCATGGTATGATGGACCAAGGCAGGAGTCCAGGTTCAGATACCAGATCTGCTATTAACTCATGGTGTGACGTTGGGCAAACCACTTCTATGTTCTGTAAAATGGGAGCATTGGGCCAGTTATCGATCAGGTCCCTTTCAGTGCTATGAAGATTGGGCTAAGAGAGAAACAGAAGACTGAGGCTCAGAGCCCTCAGGCATATTAAGGGATAGAAATGGTCTGGGGACCTTGGTTCAACACAGATATCTGTGTTGGGGGAATGCTGGACGTGAGCTTGCGCTAGGGTTCCCAGCTCACCCCAGTCTGCCTCCACAGATGGACCCTGTACAGAAGGCTGTGCTCTCCCACACTTTTGGGGGACCCTTGCTCAAGACCAAGCGCCCCGTCATTTCCTGTAATGTCTGTCAAATCCGCTTCAATTCTCAGGTAAGAAGCCAAGCTGCTCATCTACCCAATGGGTGGGGCAGGGGCAGCAGGGGACCTTGAGGGAGGGCAGAGGCTGGGTAAGAAGGCTTACTCTGGCTGAGGGACAGGGATTAAGGGGATAGTAGGCAAAGAGCAGGGAATAGGGATACCGCAGGAGAGGCAGGGTCTTGTGGAAGGCACTGGAGAGGGACAAGACATTGCTGTGTATTTTGACATGAAGTAGATCAGTCCTCTAACGTTGATCCCTCCCTCCCTTGAGACTTGGGCATCCCTGGTTCAGAGCTTCTTGGAACATAGGTGGCCATCAGTGTCTGAGCAGGAGTGTGGCCTCTGGCCCACTGGTTCTTGGGCACGGGGCAGAGTTTGGTCATTGGCTCCCCCACAGAGCCTCTGTCCTCTTTGGCCTCTGCTAAACTCCTCCCTGGCCCACCCACTTCCCTCTAACTTTCTGGCTTCCTTCTCTCTCCACCCCATTTCCATTCTCCTCCCTCCAAATCACACACAAGGCCTGGCCCCTACTCTTATCCCATGGGGCTTTCCCCTGGGGAGAAGCTACCCAAAACCCAAAACCCAAACGTCCAGCCTCCCAGATTTCCTCCCTCTGAGGCTCCACTGGGACTCTGTGGAGTGTGTGCGGGTCTAGAGGGGACTTTGTGGGGTGCAGGTCCTGAGAGCTTTTGGAGAAAAACAGAGAGCCTCATTCTGCTGAGTACGGGAAAATAAAAGCATGTTCTGTTTCTCTACCCAGTACCCAGACACACACACACACACACACACACACACACTCTCTCTCTCTCTCTCTCTCTCTCTCCCTCTCTCCATACTACTGGGCTCTGCACACCGCTACCCTACCTCTAGGCTGTCAATCTTCTTTTCCTGCCTATCCACACCTTTTATTTCTGCCCTTGTCTGGGTGACCCTGTGCCTCCAGGATTGTACATTCTTAGCGGGGGTATATATGGGAGTGGAGCAGGGTGGGGAGGGGAAGGCAGGACTAACCCAGCATTAGGCCTCTCCTTTAGCTTGGACCCCAGGCATCCTGTCTATCAACCCTGGCTCCACTCACTGGTGGATGGTGGAAGACTAGAGGGGCAGGGAGCCAAAAGCTGATAGCCCTTCCCTCTTTTTGCCCTACCCTACCCTCCCCCATCAAATGGTTCTGTTTTGACAGCTGTCTCCACTGCTGTTTCTGTCCCCAGAGCTGGGCTTGGGGCCAGGGTCCTCCAGGGTGTCCACAGAGACTTCAGGGAAAATGAGACCAAGGGTGGAGTAGTCAGGACGGAGCCCAGGCATCAGGGATCCTGGGACTTCCAGCCTCAGGGTGAAAGCAGCAAAGGCTGGATCCTAGGGGCAGAGGACTTGGGCACATAGCCTTGGGATCTAAGAGGATGCTGACTGACTGGATTGCTAGGCCTCTCCCAATTTATAACTCTTCCATAGGTTTGTGGTCCCCCTCTCTCTACCAGGACTAGGTGAGGGGTCTGAGTCAGCAGCCAGGCCCTGGGTGTGGTGGTAGGGTGGAGTCTGAACTAGGTGGGGGCCTAGGTTCCCAGGGACTCAAGCTTGAGAAGCTAGTCTGAGCCCCAGGAATAACCAGGACTTATTGGCATGGGGCTTTATATCTCATTGGTGTACGGAAAAATTAACTGCAGCCTGCTGAGATCACCCAGGACTTGAGGGAGCTCTGTGGGGAGATCCGTCAGATGAAAGGTGATCTCAGATTCCATTTTCTTCCTCCATCCCTAAAGAGCCAGGCTGAGGCACACTACAAGGGTAACCGCCACGCCCGACGAGTCAAAGGCATTGAGGCCGCCAAGACCAGAGGCAGGGAGCCTGGCATCCGAGAACCTGGAGACCTCGCCCCCCCAGGCAGCACCCCAACAAATGGGGATGGTGTAGCACCCCGTCCAGGTGTGTCTGAATCCCCCCATATTCTTCAACTGATCTCTGTCTTCTCTCTTCTCTCCCCCTTTCCCAGAACTCTCCTCTGCTTCCATCTCTCTCTTCCTCAGTCCCTATACCCCCACCCCCACCCCCACCCAAGGTGAGTCCTGGAGCCAAGCACAGTGATGTAAAATTTCCATCCTGTCACCCTTACCCCCACCACAGCTCCTCTCAACAGAGTCCCCACTGTCTGTCCTCCCCACAGCCCAGTGACTCAGAGAGGGGCTAGGGTGAGGCCACCTGGCAAACATCCCCAAGAAAAAGAGAACCATCAAATCCAGAGAGAGGCCTTTTCATCTTAGGGAGAGGGGCAGGGAAGGGAATCAGAATATCTGAGTTCCTGCCCCACTGGGGCTCCCCTCAGGGAAGACAGAGAGTGTAAGAAACCTAGGAAACTCCCTGGATGATGTTGGGTAGTAGATCTTTTTTTTTTTTTTTTGAACGGATCTTGCTCTTCGCCGGCTAGTGCAGTGGCCGATCTTGGCTCACTGCAAGCTCCGCCTCCCGGGTTCACGCCTTCCTGCCTCAGCCCCGATCTGCCCAGCCCCGCCACCCGCCCAGCTAGTTTTTTTTTTTTTTTTAGAAGACTGTTTACCGTTAGCCAGATGGTCTCTCCTGACCTGTGATCGCCTCTCGCTCCAAGTTTTAGGCTTGACCCCGCCCCCGTTAGATCTTTTGACCTCCCTAGTCAGAGGTGTTTGTGTTTGTTTGTTTGTTTGTTTGTTTGTTTGTTTCTGGGAAATAGAGGAGTGAGACTAAGATCTTTGAGGTCTTTTCCAAGTTTACAAGATTCCTTTTTCCTCATGGCTGCTGACCATCCTCAGCCATACTTCCAGCCAAGAAACTGGAACAGGAATATTGAGATAGGAAGATATGAGCCACCCCCATCCTGGGATTACCACATCAGATGTCAATCATGGCCAATTCCAGAGAGACCTAACATCTCCATCCTTATCCTTGCCTGGCCTTCCTGCCCCACCCTAAGAAGAATGAGAAACAAACATCTGTACTACCAGATTGGAAACCAGGCCCCCATTCTCAATAAACACACACACACACACACACACACAAAAAACCCCTCAGGGATGCACAGAGAGAGTGAGTGGGTAGGTGGGCAGGTGGGGAAACTGAGTTCTGTTTTTTGTTTTTTGTTTGTTTTTTGAGACGGAGTCTCACTCTGTCTCCAGGCTGGAGTGCAGTGACACAATCTCAGCTCACTGCAATCTCCACCTCCTGGGCTCAAGCGATTCTCCTGCCTCAGCCTCCTGAGTAGCTGGGATTACAGACACCCGCCACCTCGCCCGGGTAATTTTTGTATTTTTAGTATAGAAAGGGTTTCACCATGTTGCCCAGGCTGGTCTCAAACTCCTGACCTCAAGAGATCCACCCACCTCCGCCTCCCAAAGTGCTGGGATCACAGGCGTGAGCCACCATCCCGGCCATGGGAAGCTGAGTTCTAATTGTTCTTTGGCTGCTTCTTAGCCTGATCATCTTGGGTTAGTTTGTTAACACCTCTGTAAAATGGAGAGGAAGAGGATGATGATGATGGTGATGATGGTGATCGCTAACATTTCTTGAACAGCACTTCACACGTATTATCTCATGTAGTTCCTACAGTATCTGAGGATATAGGCAGGATAACTATACCTGCCCTGCTTTATAAACCATGAAGTCCTGTCCAGACTGAGATGTGGATGTGCTATCTGGATTGGGATGGAGGTGAAGAATGTCAGAAAAAAGTAAGAGAAATAAGGGGAAGGACATAGAATGAACAAGCAAATGGGTACCTGGAGGGGTGAGGAGTTCCCCTCCCACAAGCTCCCCACCCCCACTGCCAGCCTCGCCATGACCCGGAAACTGGATCAGCTGCTGGAGCAAGAATGGGAGCGCTAGAGTTTCCCCTGTACAGAGGCCAGAACCCAGCACTGAGGCCTAGGGCCTGTGCATCTTTAATCAAGCCATGAATTATAGAGCAGCCTGCATCCCTGTTTCTTCCCTCTCCGGTTCTGCTGTTTCTGTTTCCCTTTTGCCATGCCTGTGTTTCTCTCTCCAGACCTTTCCTCACCCTGCCTCTGCCCCTTCCTAGGGCTCTTTCGTGTACTTCCCGGGGGCTGGGCAAGACTCCGGGAAGGGGCTGTCCTGGCAGGAAGCCCAGACTGGCTGGCAGGCCACTGAGGGCTATATCCTTGTTCCATGCCTCTCCCCCTGGCTGGGCTTGCTGCCAGCTTCACCCTGAAGGTAGGCTGGTGAGGCTGGACCCCTTGGCCATTCCCAGCTAATGGAGAATGAGCCGAGCATTGGAGTTTCACACCCAGCCTGCGGCAGCTGGACCACATCTGGCTCTGGACCAGGACATGAGAGCATGCATGTTGTAACAGGGTGGGGACTCCTGGTCTCTTGCCCTCCAGGAAATCGGGGGGGGGGACTCTTCCACATGAAGAGTCTTCTCCAAGAGCCATCTAGGGTGATCCCCATGTTTCTCCCCCAACAACAGTTTCCATGGAGAATGGACTGGGGCCAGCCCCAGGATCCCCAGAGAAACAGCCTGGCTCCCCATCCCCTCCCAGCATTCCGGAGACTGGTCAGGGTGTAACCAAGGGTGAAGGGGGGACTCCAGCCCCAGCTTCCTTGCCTGGGGGTAGCAAGGAAGAGGAGGAGAAAGCCAAGCGGCTGCTCTACTGTGCTCTGTGCAAGGTGGCTGTGAACTCCCTGTCCCAGCTTGAGGCACATAACAAAGGTATGGACTCCCCTGCCCCCACCCAGACTCTCCTATCCTCAGGCCACCCCTGCCTCTACATCCTAATGCTCCTGGCTTCCAACATCCCTAGACCATCTAAGACCTATCAGCCTATCTGCCTATCTCCTTCTCCAGCCCTCTCCCCCGTTCCTTAGCCCTTTACTTCCTCAGCTCCCCCTTCCACCTTACTCCTTACCTATGACTCTCTCCTGATCCACCTGTTTGGGAGGGTCCCAAGGAGCTTGGAAAGAACCCACACGGCGCCCACCCCTTCCCCCTCATATTGTAACTGGGAATGTGCAGATTTGAGGCCCAGTAGGCCTGGATAATTTTTCTTCCACCCCTTACCTCCTGCCCTCTCTGGGCTCCAGGTACTAAGCACAAGACAATTCTGGAGGCCCGAAGTGGGCTGGGGCCCATCAAAGCTTACCCTCGGCTGGGGCCTCCCACCCCGGGGGAACCAGAGGCTCCTGCCCAGGACCGAACTTTCCACTGTGAGATCTGCAATGTCAAGGTCAACTCGGAGGTCCAACTGAAACAGGTGGGTCTAAGGCCCTTCCCAGAAATTCTGGGAAGCTCCACCCTCTAAGTGGGGAAGGAGAGCAAGGAGCTTGAGTAAAGGCCTTTCTTCAGGGTTTTCCCCAGGGGGCCAGATGGGAGGGGCCCGGTGCTTGGAGCTTGATTATACCCCCTTGCTGTTGCCCCTTTCCGGGAGCTCACAGCCCCCTACCCACTGGTCTCTGCAGCACATCTCCAGCCGGCGGCACCGAGACGGAGTGGCCGGGAAGCCCAACCCACTACTGAGCCGTCACAAGAAGTCTAGGGGCGCCGGGGAGCTGGCGGTGAGGCCTGGATGCTGGGGAATTCGGCAATGGGAGGGCGCGGGTGGGGAGGAGAGAGGGACGCGGGCTTTGCCCAGGGAGAGGCGTGGTTTGAAGGACCGCTGGGTGACTTCTCTCTTCCTCCACCTTTCGCCCGCTTCAGGGCACGCTGACTTTCTCCAAGGAGCTGCCCAAGTCCCTGGCGGGCGGCCTTCTCCCCAGCCCCCTGGCGGTGGCTGCAGTGATGGCAGCGGCAGCAGGCTCGCCGCTGTCCCTGCGCCCGGCTCCAGCCGCACCTCTTCTCCAGGGACCGCCGATCACTCACCCTCTGCTTCACCCGGCCCCCGGACCCATCCGAACTGCGCACGGACCCATCCTCTTCTCCCCCTACTGACCTCAACCCTGAACCCCTCCCATTCAACTCCCCACCTCCAGCCGGGACCCAGGCCTCCGGGCTCCCAGCCCGCCTCTCCTCCCGGCACTCCCTAAATGATCTCTCCTTCCCCCCCCCACCCCGAGATACGGGGTTCCAGGAAAGGGGAGGGGTAGCGGGGGAGGGGGGCTTCAGAAGGGGGGGAACACCCCAGATCTCAGGGAACCCCGCCCCCTGCCTTTCCCTCTCCCCTAGAAAAGGGGGGGCCGTCTCACCCCCGAGCCCCCTTGGAGACACCCCCCCTCCCAAAAGCCATGTCCATCCAGCCCTTCCCCCCCAAACCTAGCACAAAACGGGGTTCACAAGCCATGGTGGGGGTCCGGGGGGACAGAAATGGATTTTCTTGGCAATAAGCGGACTCTGGGACTCCGGCCCCCTACCCCAAACTGAAGCGCTTCCGTGAACACCCCCGTCCTCCGTAGGGGGAGGGGAGCAGGCGGGATCCTGGGTCCCTCATAAGCACTTTGGTTTTACCGCCTGCAACCTCACTGTGCCCGCCCCGCACCATGCCCCAGCCCCAGGTCTAGCAGGGCCCATCGCAGGGGGCAGCACTTGGGGGCATCTCCGGCACTTGGGTGGGACCAAGGAGATGCCACCATAGACCTTTCCCTCGCCTTCTTCCTCCCTAGTCCGGGTTCCATTCTTTTCACCAGCACCCATCGCCCAAGGGGTACCGAGGGGGGCAAGGGGTGTCCAGTCCAAGCCCACCCCCGCCTCGCCTTCCGCAAAACTGTGAGCAAAAAGCAATAGAAGCCTCGCCCCCGCCCCTCCCCTTCCGCAGAATTCGCCGAGTCTGTAGCCTCCCTGATCCCAGTTCCTAGACCTCATGGCTGTCCCCTCCCACCAGTCACCTCCACTGCACAACCCGGGCGGGGGTGTGACACCCCGCCCCCGCCCCCGACTCCGTGGTTTCCGTATCGTCAACCCTTCAGCCGCCGACCCGGGAGGGGTCCGGCCTACACTGGTCTTCCCCTTCCCATCAACTCTTTCTGCTTGACAATGTAGCAACCCCGGCCCCCCACCCACGGTCCTCCCCTTTTTGCTCTCCCCGACAATAAAGTCTGAATTTGTTCTGCCCTCCGCCCCTGGATCAGACTCCGTATTTGCCCGCTGTTTGGGGAGCAATTCTATCGGGAAATGTATCTGTATGGGACCGGCACAGAGAGAGGAAAGGGCGCGAGAAGGAGGAGGAAAAAGGAAATCGGGGGTGGGGGGAGGCAAAATATGAGGCTTGTGCAAAGTGAGCAGAGGCTCCCCATCCCACCCACCCCCACTTTCGTCCAGCTCGTGTAAACTTGGCCTGGGGGATCATTTCGAGTCCAAGTCTGGGACTGCAGCTGCAGCTGTTGAGAATTTGCCACAACTCCACAAGGCGGCGCCAACGACCCGGAAAAGGAGTCTAAGCCCGAGGCTAAGCCGCTCCTGCAATGTGTCTCGAGATTCCACGCAGATGGGTCTCGAGTCTGTCTTAGACAAAGAAAAGAATCCAGGCTTTTGTGTGTCTGGTGGGAAACCCACGCCAGCAAGACTCAAGGCACAGGAAGAAAGGGGGGCAGAGACTGGGGGTCTGAGCTCTAGGCTCTGGCCCCACATAAATAGTGACCTTGAGTCAGTCCTTGCCCTCTCTGCACCTCAGTGTCGCAGTCTTCAAAATGAGGAGACTTGAGTCTTTTAAAGGTTCATTAAGATCTCATGTATCCAAGACTGAAGAACTGACACTGTGCCATTTACAGATATACTAGAATACCTTCTCAACTGGCCCCTTAAATAGTCTGTGAGACAAGGAAACACTGTTCAGCTGTCTCTCACATGGTGTGTGAGGAAAATGGTCTCTCCGTTATCCTCAAAATTTGGATCAACCATACACTCTCAAGAGCAGCCAGTAATCCTGACCCCCTCTATCCCTACTGAGTGGCAGGAAGTTCAAACAAAAAGCCCAAACCAAAACCCAGAATCTATGTGAGGTCCTCCTGACTTTCATCTCTGCTCACTTCCCCCTCTCTACCCACTTTCCAGTCTTGCAGAAGAAAGGAGGAGGGAAGTTGGGATGATGTCTGTTAAACAGGAAGAAGAGGGGAATGGGGGCCTCCTGGGTTTGTCAACTGTGAAGTTGAAAGGTGGGTGTTCACTGTGGGTTCAGAATTGGAACCCAGTAAGGAGTGTTTTGGTATTTGTTTTCATGTCTGTTTTCAGGTAAATCTAGCTTTAAAAGGGGTGGGAGGATTCAGAAGGATGAGGAACAAGAGAGGCCCTATAGAAGAGTGGGTAAAGAAAAGCAGTGGCTGGGTCACATGTGGGGAAGGAGATAGGGACTGGAAGAAATTGGGATTAGAGAGTCTGGGATACTAGCATACCCCACAAGTACCTCAAGTCTGCTAGTTTAAAACTGAATTCATTATTTACCCCTTTCCCTAAGCCTGCTCCTCCTCCCACATTTCCTTTTTTTTTTTTTTTTTTTTTTGAGGCAGAGTCTCGCTCTGTCGCCCAAGCTGGAGTGCAGTGGCGCGATCTTGGCTCACTGCAAGCTCCATCTCCTGGGTTCACGCCATTCTCCTGCCTCAGCCTCCGAAGTAGCTGGGACTACAGGTGCCCGCTACCATGCCTGGCTAATTTTTTGTATTTTTAGTAGAGATGAGGTTCCACCGTGTTAGCCAGGATGGTCTCGATCTCCTGACCTCCTGATCCGCCTACTTCAGCCTCCCAAAGTGCTGGGATTACAGGCGTGAGCCACCACGCCCGGCCACATTTCCTATCTTATTAAGAGCACCATCATCCTTCTGGAAAGCAGAAAGTTATCCTACTTCCTCCTTCTTCCTAACACTTCATCCAATGAATCACTAAATAAGTCCTATTTGACCTCCTAACAACATACGGATCCTTATCATTTCTTCATTCCCACAACCACTGCCCTAACCAGGACTGGCTCCATAATTTGTGGAACCCAGTGCAAAATGAAAAAGCAGGGCCCTTTATTCAAAAAGTATTGTATTGGCCGGGCACTGTGGCTCACGCCTGTAATCCCAGCACTTTGGGAAGCCGAGGAGGGCGGATCGCAAGGTCAGGAGATCGAGACCATGGTGAAACCCCGTCTCTACTAAAAATACAAAAAATTAGCCAGGCGCGGTGGCGGGGGCCTGTAGTCCCATCTACTCAGTAGGCTGATGCAGGAGAATGGCGTGAACCTGAGAGGTGGAGCTTGCAGTGAGCCGAGATGGCGCCACTGCACTCCAGCCTGGGGGACAGAGCAAGACTCCATCTCAAAAAAAAAAAAAGTATAGTATTAAGAATTTAGCCGGGCGCGGTGGCTCAAACCTGTAATCCCAGCACTTTGGGAGGCCAAGACAGGCAGATCACAAGATCAGGAGATCGAGACCATCCTGGCTAACACGGTGAAACCCCGTCTCTACTAAAAAAATACAAAAAAAAAACTAGCCGAGCGAGGTGGCGGGCGCCTGTAGTCCCAGCTACTCGGGAAGCTGAGGCAGGAGAATGGCGTAAACCCAGGAAGCGGAGCTTGCAGGGAGTTGAGATACGGCCACTGCACTCCAGCCTGGGCGACAGAGCGAGACTCTGTCTCAAAAAAAAAAAAAAAAAAAAAAAAAAGAATTTAAAGACAGTGATTGACAAGCATTGAACCAAGTACCAGTCCCTTCAAACTGCAAGACCCTATGCAATTATACAGGTGGTCTGGCCCTAACTTAGGCCCGTTCTATCTCTTGTCTGAACTAGTGCCTCTTTAACCATTTCGCTCACTCCCAGCCTGCATGCCTTCATTCCTAACAGCAATCTCAGTGCAAATCTCACCAACTCCTTCAGCATGAAACCAGCTCCATAGCACAATACACAAGGTCCCCCTTGACCCTGCCTGCTCAACTCTCCAAGCTCTTCTCTGTTGCTCTCTACCTCATGCCCTTTGTTGGCTTCTACCTGAACCTCTGCGCCTCTACACATACTGTTCTCTTTGTCTAGAATGTTCTTCTACTTATCTCCCAAAAAACTCTCCTGTTCATCATTCAAAATGCAGCTCAGTTACCTCTCTCTGAACCCTTTCTCACCTCCTCCTTAATAGTATGCCCCTTTTCTCTAAGCCTCCGATATATAGTTCTGGGTTGTTTTGTTTTGTTTTGTTTTTTGAGAAAGAGTTTTTGCTCTGTTGCCCAGGCTGGAGTGCAGTGGTGCAATCTTGGCTCACTGCAACCTCCGCCTCCCAGGTTCAAGAGATTCTCCTGTCTCAGCCTCCCGAGTAGCTGGGATTACAGGCACGCACCACCACACCACTAATTTTTGTACTTTTACTAAAGACGGAGTTTCATCATACTGGCCAGGCTGGTCTCAAACTCTTGACCTCAAGTGATCCACCTGCCTTGGCCTCCCAAAGTGCTGGGATTACAGGTGTGAGCCACTGCGCCCAGCCTATTAGTTTGTTTTTCTAATTTTTCAGAGACAGTGTCCTGCTGTGTCACCCAGGCTGGAGTATAGTGGCATGATCTTAGCTCATTGCAGTCTTGACCTCCCAGATTCAAATGATCCTTCCACCTCAGCCTCCCCAGTAGCTGGGACTACAGGTGCACATCATCACATCTGGCTATTTTTGTTTTAATTTATTTATTGTAAAGACAGGGTCTCACTATGTTGCCCAGGCTGGTCTTAAACTCCTGACCTGAAGCCATCCTCCCAGCTCAGCCTCCCAAAATGTTGGGATTACAGGCATGAGCCTCCAAGCCAGGCCTATATAATATTTTAAAGCAAGCCTCAGCAAACTTTTTCTCAAAGGGCCTGATTATAAATATTTTAAACTGTGTTGATCAAGAGATAAAACTGAGGATATTACACAGGTACTTATATAACAATTTAAAATATAACCATTTTTATGTTATTTACTTATTTATTTATTTATTATTTTATTTTTTGGGGACTGAGTCTTGCTCTGTCATCCAGGCTGGAGTGTAGTGGCACGATCTGATCTCAGCTCACTGAAAGCAACCTCCACCTACCCAGTTCAAGTGATTCTCTTGCCTCAGCCTCCCTGGTAGCTGGGATTACAGGCACACCCACCACACCTGGCTAATTTTTGTATTTTTAGTAGAGACGGGGCTTCACCATGTTGGCCAAGCTGGTCTCAAACTCCTGACCTCAAGTGATCTGCCCTCCTTGGCCTCCCAAAGTGCTAGGATTATGGGTGTGAGCCACCGCACCTGGCCTAAAATATAACCATTATTAAATGGAAAAAAAACATTCTTGGGTCACAGGCTATACAACAACAGATAGCAGACTAGATTTGGCCCATAGGGCGAAGTTTACTCACCTTTGCTCTGGAGAACCGATTAAGCATTTGCATATTTATGTATTTGTCTCCCCTAGTAAACTATGCACAAGGCCATGTATCAGACGTTCTTGTATCCCCAGTGTCTAGATCAGAGTCTGGTGTATAGTAGGCACTCAAGACAAAGTTGCTGGGTGAATGGATAAATGAATGATTGAACAGGACCCTGATCCCTTGAGGGGAATGAAACCAGAATCCTGGAGGCCTCATTCCCACTTTTCTTCATCTGACTCGGTTTCTCAGATGTGCTAGGGTGCTACATGGGCCCCTCTGACTTGAACCATGTCCAAGCCCTGGAGAGAAGAAAGGTAGTGCTCCTCCGAAACAAACCCAAGGCTTCTGGGGGTACCTAAAGTTGCTCCTGGAACTTGGTCTTATCTTTTGGCCCTTTGAGGAATGGCCCAAATGTTCTGATGCTCTGACTCTGTGCCCTAGCAATTCTCAGCAATGATCTTACAGATGACTTCTGCCATGCATAGAGGGCAAGAAAACAGAGTTTGGGTTTCAGGAAGGAGAAACGAAAGAGTGAAACGACTCTGAGGTAAGTAGCAAGGGAATTTCAACAGAGAAGCCTAGATTTCACTAGCCAAAGCAAAATGAGTAGGACCGGAGGTGGTGAAGGAAGTGGCTGGAATTGGGTAACGGGGGAGTTTCTTATTCTCTCAGTGGAGTATAATAAGGAACATAAGAGCAGGATGCCTCCTGCTTGAAGCCTGACTGTCCACCAGAAAGGACTGCTCTTTGGGTGAGCTGAACTTC